GTTACTGTATTTATCCTCTCAAAGATGTATAGTGTGTTGAATTGTGTACTTTATTTGCTTTATATTAGTGCGGTTCTTTATGCATGTCCACAGATAGCGACATAAATCAAAGTCTGGTACTGAAATTACGCAACAATGCGACTGTTCTCCTACTGTGTTCGAATCTCCTATACTAACCAAAATTGTTGCTTTAGATACTGAAGATGGAATCTGATAGAATTCCGAAACGTTTATCCATGTCCCCTTTTTGTCAATAAACAATTATCATAAATGTCGTAATCTTGTTTATAATCAAACTTCGTTTTCCTTCAAACACATCGATTGCTAATGTTGCTCGTATGTTGTGCGTATTTATGTAGGGTAAACATGCATAAAATCAATTACTGAAAATGCACAAGTTGATCAAAGAGATTAAAATATCAAGTATAATATGATTAATGAAACTGTTATTAATGCAGCCGTCTTGCCTATGAAGTCTGAAGTCAGCTCGGAAAAGTCGACTCCAGCAGTTACAGAGTACAGAAAGGAAAAACAGGCAAATCATTGGATTTTATTTTCAGAAAAAATGAAAATTAAGAACATTTTCTCGAGTATTGTGCGACAAATTATGCAGAATTAATTTAATGCTCTATCTCCCCCTTCTTTTGCCACACACACTTATAGATATGATAGCAATGATATCAAGTTGAAGCATTTGTTAGCACTTTGTCCTCAAGGGTCAAAAGAGGAATTGACAGTTTGTGAAGATACTGGCGATCCACGCTATACCATTGGTGATACTGTATTATGCATGCAGTCAGTTTTGTAAGGCTTCTGTTGCAGTGATTTAGTTGTAAACTACTAGCTACGCTTTACAATTTTATATTTTGCTTTATTTTGTCATTAGTTAGAAAGCCATCTAGGGTGCTGATTTTGCGATACTCTTAGTCTGCTAAGAGACAAGCACTCAATCACAATAATGTTGGCAAACATGTGAGTGTATATGTTCTAATGAAGTCCAGCCAAGTTGCTATGTGTGGAGCCTATACATTCAGGTTTCACCAATCTCAACATTATGCTTAAGACTCAACACTTGACCTGTCAGTAGATAGGTGGGTTAATGCTGTCCTCATTGATATAATCTATACATCTTAGTAGTCGGATTAATCACTTTTGCTATGACAACCGATTATTTAAGTCTTCTAACTTAGTTTTTCTTTAAAGTATTTTGGAGCAGGATGATTTAATGAGAACTCCATTAACCATTCACTCTGTTTGTGCCACTGCCCCTCCAACTTCTACACTGATGGACAAGGACCATCTTTCCCCATTTCATGGATCACCTTTCCCTGAGATGATGATGAGGAGGATGAGATGAGTGGAACTTGACTCCCGATTTCCCTGAACCATCTAAAGACGTTACAGCTTTGGTTCCTTCTTTCTTGGCATCTCGTCCTTCACGGCTACTGACCACTTGATGCTGTCCACCCACAATGCCAAAACAAAACAGTGGACATTGAAGTAGGAGAAACCTAGAAAGTATTTTATCTGCTGTTGGATGTGTGCCAGGAAAGAAGACACTATCAAAATGACCTCCAGTGGAAAAACGGCTTGAACAGTTTACTAAGTAGAAGGACAACTGCTAAATTCCCCCACTCAACAAGGAATGTCAAATTGGTGGAACCTCCAAAAACAATGGCTACAGTTACCACCACTGCTAAGGATCTAGAGACTTCCAGCATGACACTAACATCACCAACCTCGCTGATAATGGTGAATAAAAATCTACCAGTGAAGCCCCGACTTACATCCTGAAAAGGTATGATTCGGGGACAGTGGTGTATTGGTGTCACCACAATTCGTTGGTAAAAGAGTATCCCAAGAGTTGGCGGTGGGTGGTGATGATAGCTGTGTTCCCTCTGGTCTTTTAGTGCTAAATTTGGGACGGCTAGCGCAGATAACTCTCACGTGCTTCGCGCGAAATTCAAATCAACCCAATCAGAATCGTTTCAGATGCTCAAAGAGTCAAAATTCTCTGTTGAAGTTTAATCCGTTTTGAAGTCGCTGAACTTAGTTATTTATGAACAGTAAGCTTCAGTTCATTTTCATTTAGAGTTTAGTTTAGTTTTATTTTATGTAAATACAGTTTTCTTATTTATTTCAATACATTTATTTTACACTCTAACTCAAGTTGTTAGTCTCCACTTGCCATATAACTGTGTCGTTGGTTTTATTCATCTTCACATCACGTATTGACCTTTTCTTCCCACCTGACGGGAAAATAACTAAACCTGCCCCTGTATATTAAGTCTACTAAGATGTACCTGCTGGAAAGATCAGGAAACTGGGTTTTTATATATACATACAATTAAATAAAACCGGTCTAACAACTACTTTATTAAAAACAGTAATAACAATGTGCAAATTATTAAATAACTAACAAAACATTATATTATATTTTGTTGATTCTTTAATATTTGAGCATTATTGTGTTGATGTATTATTACTGTTTTTTATTATCTTGCACAAAGTATTTCTTCTGTAAATAGTTAGCTTATTATTGTAAGCATTTCTAGGTTGTAAAACATTCACTCGAATAAAACTTTCTAGTAATAAAGTTACAGCTAAAAACCTTCGTTACTCCAGACGATTAGGTTGAAATCATTTTTATCTTAACGACAAACTTTTCGTTGTGGTTGAAGAGATGATCTTCAACGGATTGTAGATGTTGCTTTTCAAAACTAAAATATACATATAAAGAGAAGGCGAGCAATACAAGACCATTTTAATATAAATTAAAAATCGGACACAATAATATGAAATATCACAATCGAAAGTAATCCATAGCAAACATTATATAAAAACCATAATTTAATTCCAGTGCTTGGTCATCACTAAGTTTGTGAGTAAGTACAAGACATGTTGGTTTATAAACAAACTTTTACTGTTCTTTATTTGAGAAAGTTTAAAATGTGAAGTTTAGCATCAATAGTTTAGTGCATTTTTACTAACACCCCTTTCAGTTGGTCTTTGCAACTATGTAAAACCTTAGAGCTGTATTTTGAAAGTGTCTTTCTTTGCAGCCACTTGAAATAAGCATGTTGAACTGTCAATATAGTATATTACAATAATGCAAAATACAAAGCTGTAAATGTTTATTCTACTCACCCAGGACGGTTCCACCTTTTTTTCCTCCACAGAATGGCCATGACCGGGAAGTCCATCACACGTTGTGTTTTGGCTCTGCAAGCGCCACAAGGACACTTCATACCTCGTGTAGTTGAAGGTTGTTTTGGCTGGCAAGAAAGATACGTTCAAAACCCCTTCTGTTGACATGTACGTAATGTTGGTTGTCCATAGAAGGGCAGGAACTAGTATATGCAACATACTGATTTAAATATTCGCCATGGAAGTAGCTGATATACTAAATTCTGTTACTTCGTCCCTCCTGAGGTCTAAGAACAGTTTAGTGACTGATAGAAATATGAAGAGAATATTTGTTAAAGTTATATTTGTTTACTTCTCCCTGTGGAGCTGCTAACACTAAACAGAAGTTGTAGTCGCTGTGGAATCAAATGTATTGCTAGATGTTGTTGAAGTTGTCTCTTCTAGTCATTGATGTGCATTCTGGCCCATGATAAAGATACATATCATTATTAGCACTAACGTGGCGTCTGACTAAACTCACTCAGAACGTGGAATACAACACCTGCAATAAAAAAAATATACTATTAATTAAAATATATTTGTTTATCAATTTTGTTACTGTTTCTTACAATAATGTTTTAAAACGAACTAAAATTTTTTCACAAACCCAAAACTGTAACATTTTCTCTTTAAGATATTAATAATATTGTGCGAATTTTCTATCATAACTGCATGCTTTTTCTTAAGCTATTTGAACTAGTTACAGTCATTTAAATAACTGGTATTCTGATGAAAAGCTATAAATTTATTTACCCTGGGCCTATCATGACCAGGTAGTTATGACGCTAGACTCCCAAATGCGGGTCGCTAGTTTTAAGCCCGTCGCCTATCATGCTCACTCTACCTTTCCTCTAGCCTGCCACTTCTAACATAGGAATGGCTAGCGTAGATAACCCTCGAGTAGCTTTGCGCGAAAGTAAATAAACAAACTTATAACTAATCAAGCTACTAACTATGACAATGAGTAATATCCGATCACCACAACTTTGCCTACAGCGTTGGAATATAAATGGAAATTCTTAGTCAATTCCTAGCATTGCTAGCCTAAAGTATTAATTGTGTTAAGTGTTGTACTATCTTGATATGCTTGGCATCCATCCAAGTTTCTATGCACATTTCTAAGAGCTTTTTGAAGCTAGGGAAATTTTTTCTCGACACAGTAAACTTTCTAATGCAATAAGTGTAAAAGAGTGCGTCTTTTCTGAGGATATTATATAAGCCTTTTGTGAAACCGACACCCTAAAATGTAAATTATAGATGGAAAATGTGCATTCAATAAGAGTACAGTGCTCTTAGGCACTATTGGAACGTGCATCTAAAAATACGAGAGAAAACAAGAGAGAATCCTCAATAGTCGTGGCATTTGAAATTCTTTTAGGTAGGATTAGAATAAATTTATCTATGAGACCTTAGGAGTGATCAAATACATCAATCGAAAAGGTTGACC